TGAGGTCCCGGAGGAAGGGGCATGTGGAGGAGGACCTTGTCTCCCCACCGCAACCAAGAGCCCATCCCCCTCACGGCAGGGGGCGCTGCGGTACAGGCGGCTGCCCGCGATGCCCCACCCAGCACCCAGCCCGACCCCGTCTCCGTTTCCCAGTGGGGACCGCCTTGGGAGCGCCAAACCTCGCACTCCCATTCGCAGTTTTCTTGAATCTTCGCCACACCCTATTACAAGTCAACGGTCTGCGTCCACTTGTTGGGAAACCTCTCGGGTTGCAGGCGGGACCAGTTCAAGCCTCCACCCTCCGGGCGGGGCGTGGCTAGACAGCCCAGGCGCGCGCCCCGCCCGGGAGTCTGGGCCTGCGCGGCCCCCAGTGGGCGCAGACAGGGCGCATGCGCAAAGATCTTGCGCTCCGATTGGCTCCCACTGTCGGAGAGGCGGGGCCCTGCCCTTGGCGTTTCCTCCCTCCGCAGCTTCCGCGGTGTAGCCGGTCTGCAAGGTCCTCTGCGGGAGCTCGGATCTGGGCGGTGGTCTGCGGGGTTGGGGCCTGAGCCAGGGTAGGATACTGGCCAGAGGCGGTGGGCTCTGTGGCCCGCGAGGTGAGAACTCGGCCACTTACTGCCCTAAGTGAGAGCGCGCAGTGCCCTGCCTGGGCATCCGGACGAGCGACCCTCTGCCCCTGCCCCGACCCTCGGGGTCAGACCCCTCAGACCCTCCTCCACCTGCGGTCGGCGGAGGGACGCGCCCCTTCGCCACTCTGCGCGCTCGAGTCCTCCTGCCACTTGTTCAGCCTTGTAGACAACCCCGGACTTCCTCCCTCATCGAGAGCTTGAAGAGCTGTCACCCCTGGACCCCCAGTAACTGCTCTTTCCTTTGCTTTGCTTTACAGATGGAAGGGACAGAGGGCAATCCCGGGCAGCCTGGCCCCGCTGAGCGGTCCCATCGAAGCAGCGTGTCCTCCGTGGGAGCCCGAGGTGGGTCCCTGACTTCCTCCCCCAATTCCTTCTTGGGACGCCAGCCCTGGGGGCAGGACTCAGCTTTGTCGTCTTTTTCTCTAGGACAATTTTATGAATTAATTAGAAGTAAGATGCATTGAGATGTGATAAACTCACAGGAGTCCGGCTCCGAGGACCTGGACTGTACCTCTAGCTTAGTGCCCGATTCCTTACTCTTACTAGGTGAAGTGGGCATGTCTCATTTCTAGCTGAGAAATTCAAGTGAGAACACATGAATGAAAAGCCGCACCTTACTTTGCTCTATTTCTTTCTCAGTTTTGAAAGCCCGGATCATTATCTTCCTTTTATAGGGAGGAAATTGGGCCCTGGCGAGGTGAAATCACAGGTTACTTATTGGAGCCCTCTAGGTGATTGTGAACTTGAGCCTGCCCTGCCCTGTAAAGTGGATCAGAACCTCAGCCTCCTCCTGGAGATGATTTCTGTGATCTCTCAGAGTAGTTGGAGCAGAAGAGACGGAGGGTCCAAAAAAGCACCTTAGCCTGCGTTTCCCTTCACAGACTTCACCCCATTTGATTTACAGCTACTTTTGGGGAAAGGATGTTATCTCTGGGTTTTTGTTTTCCTTTGTTTTTGGTACTATGACTTGAACCCTGGGCCTTCGCTCTGAGCTGTGTCTCCCGTTCTTTATTTTTAGTGAATAAAGGCCTCACTAGGTCACTAAATTGCCCAGGCTGAGCTCAAACTCTTGACCCCCTGCTTCAGGTTCCCAAAGTGCTGGGATTACAGGTGTGCACCACCATGCCCAGCTTTAGCTCTGCCCTGACAGGTGAGGCACCGTACACCCAGACTGACTTGCTGAATGAAGTCAGCCGCCTGCCAGAGAGTGAGCGGGAACTGGGACCCGAGTATGTGGGCCTTTGCTGTGCGTGTGGCTCCAGGGATGGAGGCTTCCATCTGGCTGCCCGGCCAAGGCCCTCCTTTTGACTCTGGGCTCCAAGTTGGGGTTTCCCAACTTGTCACGGGGAGCCCTTGGCTGTTGGGGTTATACTTTCCTAGCCTGCTTAAGGCTGTCCTGAAAGGCCACAGTATTGCTGCCTGAAGTTTGAAAAGTTCAGAGAAAACTGACTCCTGGAAATTGCTCTGACCTGGGGTGGCGTTAAGAATCCTCCTTCCCATCTAAGCCTGAGCCAGAGAGAGATGGAGGCTTGCTGAAGGATGACCTAGGGTCACCAGGTATCCCCACTCCCAGCCCAAGAAGCTACGTGCTGTGACCCCAGGGTGGGCTCGCCTGTGCGCCGTATCCGCTTGTGAGTGATACTGGGGCAGAAGTGCAGCGGAGTCCCTGCGGCTGCCTGAGCAGCCAGGGCGTGGCCTTGCTCTGTCCAGTTCTAATTGAATCTCAGGGGAGGGGTGGTGTAGCGCTGGTGCATGGGCCAAAGTTGCTGGGTTATTGGGTGGTTTGAGGGTCTTGTGGAACTGGGGTATTTCATCAAGGCTAGCCTGAGCTACCTGGTGGGACCCTGTGTTACAAAAAAAAAAAAAGAAAAAAAAAAGCAACAATAACAACAAAAAGATACTTCACAGCTGCTGTGTGATTGTAATTCCAGCACTCTGGGAGGCTGAGGCAGGAGGATCACATGTTCTAGCTCAGCCTGGGCAACTTACTGACTTACCTCATCTGAAAGTTTAAAACAAAAAAGGGCTAGTAATGCAAAGGCCCTGGGTTCAATCCCCAGTACTGCAAAAAACAAGGGGGCATCTTTCAGGGATGCTGGGGCTCTGCTTTAGAGTGTAGCCTGGATCACCCAGGGAGCATGGTGTGACGGAGGGGCCTGTTGTGGACCTCAGCTGACCCCCCTGGCCTGCTTCGCAGCAGCTGATGTGTTGGTGTACCTGGCTGACGACTCGGTGGTGCCTCTGGCTGTGGAGAACCTGCCCTCGCTCAGCGCCCACGAGCTGCACCGCGCAGTCCGGGAGGTACTGCAGCTCCCCGATGCTGCCCTGGACGTCTTTGCGCTCTGGCTCGTCTCCCCATTGCTGGGTGAGTACAGCCAGCTGGGCAGTGAGGTACCCCAGTGGACGGTTGGCCCAAGCCACAGGCTCAGACCTCTGGCTGCTGTGCAGCAGGGCAGGTGGGACTCGGGTGTCCCGGTGCCATCTCCTTCGAGGAGCCACAGCCCCGAGGAGACTCCTGGCTCCCTCTCTGCGGGTGGCAGTGGAGGCCCAAGCCTGCCCCCTTCCTCAGTGGGGCTGCCTGTCAGGAGGCACAGGACTGTGAGGGCGGGGAGTGAACACAGTGTGCGCGCAGCAGCCTGGGCCACACCTGGTAGGTGTAGTTTCTTCATCGCAGGCCCAGGTGTCCTGCAGTAAGGAGTGTAAGGTCTGGAGCGTCGAAACCAGTGAGTGTCAGGACTGAGACAGAACCAGGGTGGCAGCCTCTGGACTGTGTCCTGTTTTGGGGGAGCAAGAGGTATGGGGCACGGTCCAGGAAGCTGGACTTAGCTAGGGCGCGGGAGGGCCTGTAGAAGGGGGCACAGCTGCCCGTCCACCCACATCATGGTGTGACGCTGGGACCCTGAGGGAATGGGGAATGTACTGGATTGATGCCTGGTGGTCAGCTTGTAACACCCCGCTGAACTGAACCAGTGCGGTGCTGGGTGTGCAAGGCCCCCCTGAGGGTTGTTGCTGGCAGCATAAGAGGCAGAACTGGAGAGAAAGAAGTTTGGGTGATGTTAGTGAGCCATTGGGTCTCTTGGAGGAGCTTGTCATGCTGGCTTTCCTGCTGTGAACGTGGCTGTTCTCATCGTCAAAGAAGCTTGAGACCTTATTGTCGCTGAGGATGGCTGCAGTTCACTTTGGGGGAGCTCTGGTCCTTACTTTGAGCATCGCTTGCTGACTCCAGAGGGGAAGATGGTGCACTGTTCAGTGTCCTGGATGGGGACTCAGCTGTTGTCATCATCAAAGGAGCTTGGGACCTCCTTGTCAGTGGGGATGGTTGTGATACTTTTCGGGGGAGCTCTGGTCTTTACTTTGAGTGTCGCTTCTTGGCTCCAATGCAGATCCCTCAGGCCTGCTGGCACAGATCCTTCATCCTGCTGGCACAGACTTTCTAGCTTCCACTACTGACCTTGGGGCCCCTCAGCGCAGATCTCTGAAACAGGTCTCCCTTCAGTTGGACTCGTGGGAGCATTGTGTTGGGCTCTGGATCTTCATCTGAAGTCAGGCAGGACATTGCCAGCGGATCCAGGCCCTCAGCTGGATTCTGTGGGTCTTTAGCATGTGGGCAAGTTTCCTGCACTCTTTTAACTTTTTTTTTTTGTTTGTTTGTTTTTCTCCGGTACCGGGAACCGAACTCACGACCTTGCGCTTGCCAGGCAGGCGCTTTGCCGCTGAGCTAAATCCCCAGCCCCTCCTGCACTCTTTTGAACTTGGCTTTTTGATGACTATGATAAGATAATCCTATAAAGTATGCGTCCTGTATTGTTCTCCTTGTAAACCCTGACCACAAAAGGGATGATCCCTGGGTGAATAGAGTCACGGAGCCTGCTGCCTTGGACAGGGAGATTCCAGTGAACTGGGGCTGGGGCCAGGCATGTTTTGATTTTTTGAGACAAGGTCTTCATATGTACTTCAGGCTGGCCTTGAGCTCATCGCCCAGGCTGACCCCGAACTTGCAGCAGTCCTCCTTCCTCCATCTCCTGAGTGCTGGTATTACAGGTATGCACCACCACGCCCAGCTCCAGCCATGTTTTCCTTCTTGTTTCTTTTTTTGTTTGTTTTTTGAGATAGAGTCTCACTATGTCATGTAGGCTGGCCTTGAACTCTCTCTGTAGCCCAGGCTGGCCTCAAATTGAAAGTGATCCTCCTACCTCAGCCTCCCAAGTGCTGGGACTACAGGAGTGCGCCACCGTGCCCAACCCCAGGCATGTTTTCTGATCTAAAATATTTCCCTTGTTGAAGAGGAATAGGGCCAAGGTGGGAGTGACTGCCCCCATTGAGAGGACTGGTCCAAGGAGGACTGCTGGGTCAGACTAGAGGGACCTAAGAGGTGACCTTCTGTCCTGGACCACTGGGATTTGTGTCTGCCCTGGAGGGAAGGTCTCAGTTGGCTTGCTGGAAGAGAGGGAGCTCCGCCCCCACCCCCTCATCTTCTCAGTCAGCTTCCTGAGCAGCTGCTGCTCTGGGGCTCTCGCCCACCCTCTTCCTGCTGAGCGCCTCCTGGCCGCTGCAGCCAGGCCCCCCTCCCGTCCTCTGGGCTCTGGTCAGGACTGTGGGCCCCCCTGGCTGTGTCTTTGGAAGACTGAGGTGGCGGGCCCCAGTGGGTGACCCCTGCCTGCCTCTCAAGGCTCTCTGGGCAGCTTGCTTCCCTCGCCACTTAGTATGTCCCCTCCCTCCTCACATTCCCGCCTCCGTGGCAGGACTGAATGGGCTACTGTGTCCGGAAGGAGGGCGGGAGGCTTCGACAGTCCACACCTATGTTGTTTCCATGCTGCCTTGGGAGGGTGAAAGGCTGCTCCCGCTTTGCCTTGTTGAGGCCCCAGAACCCTGGGCTCTTGAGTGCCTGCGAGGCGTCCGCTCACAGGCTTTGGTAGGGTTTAGCCTTTGCAGTGCCGCTGTCACTGTGGATGGAGCATCCGCAATTGGCAGTCTCATTTGGGTGACGGTCCCCAGACAAGAAGGTGCCATCGAGAAGGCTCTGGGAACATGAGTTCTGCCCAGTCCCGCTCTGATGACGGGATCCTCCAAGCTGCTGTGGCTTGGAGTGAAGGCAGGAAGAAGGACACCCCTGTCTCCTGGTCCCCATAATGGGTCGAGGACGTTGCTTATTCCACAAGGATGAGCCCAGCTCCCTGGTGCCGGCATTGTCTTATGGCCTGGGATACAGCAAGTGACGAGACCAGCCAGTGTCCCTGCCCTCAGAGACCCCAAATTGCCACCACTCATCTCTAGGTGGGAAGAGCATGAAGAAGGGCTGGGAGAACAGAATGGCAGGGAGCCTTTCCTGGAGAGGGAGGGAGGTGGCTGTTGGGACAAATTTCACCTTGTGTGGGGGAAGGGGGTGAGTGCGGCCAAGGATCTAGGTGGGAAATGAGGGCTATGGGGCATGCGGGGAACCTGGATCAGGATGACAGGACAAGCCAGGCATGGTGGCACACACTTATAAATCCAGCACTCTGGAAGCTGAGGCAGGAGGATTGCTGGCAAGTTCAAGGCCAGCCTAGGCTACATAGTGAGACCGTGTCTCAAATAAACAAAAAACAAAAAGACTGGCAAGATAAGAAAGGCCTGGAGAGCTGGATACAGTGATAGGATGGAAGAGGCTGGAGGCAGGGAGGCCAATGTGAAGCTTCTGGCTCCTGTTTGGGGTCAGAGGCAGGGTCCAAGGGAAGGTCCGATGGTCCAAAGAACAGCAAAGACTCTTGGCATCAGGCTGACACCACGAGGTGCTCAGCCCTCAGGAGGGAGAGAGGCGTAGAGGGAGCTGTGGGCAGAAGACAGGCACTTTGCTGCCTGCTCCCCAAGTCAGCATGCGTCTCAGTTCATTTCTGGGTGAGTTTGGATGTGGCCTCCAACCTCCCAAAGGCACCAGGGCAGCCAGTGTCACCTGGTGGGCAGGCAGCGGTGTAGAACAGAAACTGCCTTGTCACTCACAGGCCCGCAGCCCTGAGGTAAAGAGCTGTGACGGAGAGCTGACCCATGGCCCAGAGGCAGCTCGTGCCTCACTGGCAGCTACAGGGCGGATGGAGGCAGCACAGGAGGCTGGGCAGCAGAAATGCTGCAAAGGCAAGCGGACAGTGGTGCAGTGGGGTGACAGGGATATCTCAAGGAGGGGCTGTCTCAGGTCCAAGACAGGTGACCAGCCAGCCACGTGAAAATCTGGGAGATGGAATCGGAGGCAGGTGACCAGCAGGGGTAAAGGTGCCAAGGCTGGGCATGCTCCGGTGTTCCAGGAGGGGGCGTAGCGGGAGCAGGGGCAGGGGGCGAGGAAGGGCAGCGCCTGGCGCTGTGGGCCGTGGAGTCAGGAGCTGGCCAGGTGGAGGCCGCCGGCTGCAGCCTGGCAGTGGGGAGGCTCGCTTTGTTGGGGCAGGTGAGGATGGCCTCTTGAGCCCTGGACCCCCAGTCACCAGCTTCAGGTTCTGCTTCCTGGTAGCAGTGCCCTCGCCCCCAGCACCTCCTCCCCCTCAGCCTCTCAGCTGTCGCTCACCCCCTGGCTGGAAGGAGGGGAGCCTGGCTGTGTCTGGAGCCACACAACCTTGCACTTGCTTGACTTTGGATGAGCAGCGTCACCTCTCCGAGCCTCATTTTCTCTGTGGCTGAAGCGGAGGGTGGGTTATTGCCGGGTCAATGTACATAAACCACTTGGAAGGCTTCTGGGTGCGTAGTACCTGACTGTTGGCCCTCAGGCCCCCTCCATTGCTGCAGCTGGGGGCAGTGTGACAGGCGGGTGGGCACCCTCAGTAGGCCAAGGCTGCAGGGCCGCCTTCTCTGTCATGCCATAGAGGTGCAGCTGAAGCCCAAGCACCAGCCCTACAAGCTGGGCCGCCAGTGGCCGGAGCTGCTACTGCGCTTCACTGACGCCCCTGATGATGACGTGGCCATGGGTAGGTGCAGCCTTGGGCGAGGGTGTGGGCAGAGGGAGCCCAAGGGAGGAACTGAGAGGAGGGAGACGGGCTGGGTGGCCCGAGGCCCGAGGGTTTTCCCTGCGGGGTGGAGTGCGTGGCCAGGCACAAGCCCAGCTCTCTCCACAGATGAGCCTTCCCTGCAGTTTCGGAGGAATGTGTTCTTCCCAAAGTGGCGAGAGCTCCAGGTGAGGCCACCAGCCCACGAGTGCCACCCCGGTCCAGCACCCTGTGCCCAGCTTCCCTGGACCCCTAGACCTTCACACCTTGTTCCAGCCCACTGAGGCGTCCTTCCCTGCCACACTGGCCCACAGATCCGTGACGAGGAGGTCCTGCGGCTGCTCTACGAGGAGGCCAAGGGCAACGTGCTGACCGCTCGGTACCCATGCGATGTGGAGGACTGTGAGGCCCTGGGTGCGCTAGTGTGCCGTGTGCAGCTTGGGCCCTACCAGCCCGGCCAGCCTGCAGCCTGCACCCTGAGGTAAGGGCAGTGTGACTCCGGAGTCCTGCCTGCAAATGGTGCCAGGTCCCACCATGTGAGGCCCAGTCACGTGCCCAGGAGGTTACATGCCCTGCCATGCTCACTGCCGCCTCTCTGGGCCCCCTTTTTCTCATCTGCTGTGGGTAGTGGGAAACTGAGGACCCTGAGGGATCCACAGCCAACAGGACCCAGCTGTGCATGAGGGCATGGCCTGGCTGCACTGCAGTCGGGAGGAAACTGCCCTTGTTCTCTTTTTTTTTTTTGGTCTTTTTGAGACAGGGTCTCCCTATGCAGTTCAGGCTGGCCTTGAGCTCACTTTGTAACGCAGGCTGGTCTTGAACTTGCAAGGATCCTCCTGCCTCAGCCTCCCGACTGCTGGAATTACAGGCATGCACCACCACACCTGGCTAGGGCCTTGTTCTTTAGACCAAGTGAATACCGACTCTCTGGTGACCACTGACAGCCCAGCTTAGTTCCCAGCCCCAGGGATGAGTGCTGTCCCCAGGTACTCAGAGGCTGTCTCTGTGTCCCCAACTTCTCTCCTGAAGCCTGTGTTGGCTGTGTGAATTCACAGGGTGGCAGGGGTTGAGTCTGTCCTGACGGCAGACCCAGCCAGGCCCCAACCTCCATGGAGGGTGACCCTGATGAACCTGAGCATGGTCTACTCTTCGCTGAGGCTCCTCCCCACCTCAACCCTGCTTATGTGGGGCAGGCAGGAGAGCTACGTGCAGGGCCGGGACCTCGTGCTTGGGACTGGCAGGGGCGGCAGCTCAGTGGCTGAGGTTGGTAGCCATGGGGTCCCTGCTGTGTTCCACTTGCAAGTGACAGCAAACGGAGCTCCAGTAGTTTGCAGGGGCCTCTCTCAGCTTGGGGGTAACATCGAGCCTGGATGGCTAAGGTGCCTGGAGCTGAGCTTAGTACCAGGGCTCAGTGGGGCTCCCTGACCCTGCTGGTCACTTCTCACCCTGCCCGTGTCTTCTGGGCCAGCACGAGGTCAGGCATGCTCTTGCCTTGTGGTCCTGTGGCCACAACAGCTGCCTGTAGGGACGAGAGGCCTCCCTGTACACGCCCAGAGGCCCCACACTCACTGTGGCGACCATGGCCAGGCAGGCCACTGGCTGGCTGCAGCCTGGGTCACTCAGGCCAAGGGCAGGGAAGGCTGGGTTTCCGTGCAGCCAGCTGGAGCCATCATTGGAGTAGGGATCGGGTGCAGGAGGGTTAAAGAAACACCCGCAGTCGCTCTCTGAAGGGTGGAGAGCACCCTGGGGTGCCCTGCGCAGGTCCCTTGTGGCTAGGCCTCTCAGCAGCGTGTGTCCCCCTGTGGCTAGAACAGCTGCTACCCCCCATGGCCTAGCGTGTCTAAGGCTCTAGCACCCCCATGAGACCCCTCTCCTGTGGTGGAGATGACAGCTGCAGAGTATGTGTTGAGCGCCAACCCCAGGCCGGGCTGTGCTGGCGCCTCCTGTGCTCGTTGGCACTCGTGTCCACACGAGGTGGGACTCAGGCCTCACAGACCAAAGCTCTGGCTGCTATTTTGTTTGCTTAATGCAGCGCTGGGAGTGGAGCACTCAGCCACCACCCCATTTTGTTTTGTTTTGTTTTCTTTCGGTACCAGGACTCGAACTCAGGGCGTCACACTTGCCAGACAGGTGCTACACTGCTGAGCTATATCCCTGCCCCTCCCCCCACAGTTTGTTTTGAGTCTGGGTCTCACTATGTAGTTCAGGTGGTCTCGAACCCACAGTGATCCTCCTGCCTCAGCCTCCCAAGCGCAGGGATTACAGGCATGTACCACCATGCCCACTTTCTTTTTTTCCTCACTTTTATTTTTTTGAGATAGTGTCTCAGTAAATTGTCCAGGTTGGGCTTAAACTTTTGATCCTCCTGCCTTAGTCTCCCAGAGTACTGGGATTATGGGTCTGTGTCACCATGCCTAGGTCAAGTTGCTGTTTTGATATCCTTATGTGGCAAAACAAAACATTGGGTGTGTTAGGTCCCTGGCAATAGTGTAGCTGTAAAATTTCTCATAGCTCAGAAATCCCCAGCACCCTGCCTTAGTGACAGACACTGCCCTGAAATCCTCTTCCAGTCCGGTTCCCAGCTGAGGGCTGCTTTGGACTCTTCCTAGCCTCCCAGCTTCCTTCAGGCTGGGGCCTCCCAGGCCGTCCTGGACACCTGAGTACCAACAGGCCCCTTGAAGGACAGGGTGGGGGCCTGGCCACAGCAGCAAGTATGCCGTGGGTACTCAGGGTTGTGTGCCTCCTTTTCTCCTGGCGTGGAGACTGGGCCTGGTGAGCTCTGTACCTGCCCCTTCTGCCAGCCTGGAGCTGCTCCCATGACTTCCCTGGGTAGGGGCAGGGTGCTGCCTGGGAGGGAGGCAGAGGCAGGCCAGACCGTGTGGAGTGTGAAGGAGCCATGGGCTGAGGCGGGAAGCAGCCGGGGCTCCTAGACGGCATGCGCTGGCTTCTGGAGCAGCAGGACAGCGGGATGGGTGGCATTAGGCAGTGACCCTGGGCTGTCCTCGTGGGGCTCACACCCCAGTCCTGGGCCTGTCCTTGGAGAGCCTTGCTGTGTTTTAGTGCCAAGGTAACTGTCCCTGGGGCCTGGTGGCGGCCTCACCATCCCCACTCAGGAGTACAGCAGGGAAGGCGTGGGCACAGCTGGCGTGGCTAAGGCTGAGGCAGGCAGGCTGCAGAGCCTGCCTTGTGGAAGGGGCTGAGGTCTGGCCCCCCGTGTCTGCCCCTCCAGCTTGGGACGGTTGTGTGCCCCTTCCTCTGAGCACGCTACTTTCTCTTAATAGCATCCCTACCCCCAGCTCCACAGTGGCCCTTCTGAGCAGGACGCTGCTGGGATGGCCATGGGGAGGGCCCTCTGGTGTCCCCAGGGACAGGGCCACCTACAAGCGTCGCCCTTGTCTGTGTGTATAGAAGCCCTGAAGCCCTTGGCTCCCGCCTTCTTTCCTCCACAGGGACAAGCTGGACTCCTTCCTCCCCGCCCATCTCTGCAAGCGCAGCCACGGGCTCTTCGCTGCCCTCCGGGGCCGAGGAGCCAGGGTGGGGACCGGCGAGCAGGGCCTGCTGAATGCCTACCGCCGGGTGAAGGAAGCAGTCGGCAGCGACGGTGCCCACGAGGCCTCGCTGGGCTCCCACTATCGCGCCTACCTCCTGAAGTGCCACGAGCTGCCTTTCTACGGGTGAGCTGCCCCGGGCTCCCCGCACCCGGTCTGCGGCGCTGGCTCCCTCCTCCCCAGGGAGCGCTGCTGTGGGTCAGGCCTGGTGCCAAGGTGGGGTTTGTCTTCTTCCTGGGACACCTTGTGTGGGTCTTCCCTCCCCTGCCACGGCCCCTTGAGGGTATGGGGTCTTCAGAGGAGAAGCCAGCTCCCCTCAGAGCCCTTCCTGCTGTACGGATAGGGGCGACTGGTCGCGTGGCAGGAAGACCACCACACCGTCCCCTTCTTGGTCCTCAGCTCTGAGTCCACTCCCGTGGGCAGCCCTCAGCTCCTCTTGCGTGGGTCCTCGCTGCTGAGGGTCTTTGCCATGGACAGTGGGTAGCAGGGCTCTGTGCTGGTCCTGAGTGGACCTTGCTCTGTCCCCTTCACCTCCTCTCCTCCCCCGCAGCTCTCTCTGTGGGCCAGATTCTGCCCTTGTTCACCCAAACACTTGGAGCTTTCCAGGGCCTAGCACATAGCTCCCTGCACATGCGCCCCAGAGGATCAGGGGGCTGACGCTTGTCCCTCCCCAGGTGTGCCTTCTTCCATGGTGAGGTTGACAAGCCGGCCCAGGGCATCTTGCACCGCGGTGGGCGAAAGCCAGTGATCGTGGCCATCAGTCTGGAGGGCGTGCATGTCATCGACAGTAGGGAGAAGGTACCAGCTCCTCTGGGGGTGGCACCTGGGGTGGCCTTAGTGGACAGAAGGAAGTAGGGACTTGCCCAGATTCCCCGGGACCTGTAAGGGGGTGTGAGTGACTGTTTGGGAGTGACTGCTTCCTTCGGATGTCCCTGGGTCCTGCTCATGTGTCCAGAGGGCTTCTTTGCGTCTGCTGTGGGTCGGCACCTGGCTTCTCTGCCTGGCAGTGGTGGCATCTAGCTGAGGGTTCTCCAGAGACCCCATGGGTAGGCACTGTCCTGGGCTGCCCAAGTCCTGCTTGTCCCCACCTTCAGTGGCTGGCTGTCCTCTGGCTGCCAATGTAGATGGCCACGTGGATGGCCATCCCTGTGTGTCTGCTTCCCTGCACCTGGGCAGGAGCCCCCCTCAGTGTGGCAGAAAGGTTTGGCTGGCGTCTGTCCCGGGAGAGGGACTCCAGCCCTTCCTGGGTAGCTGTGCCCTGGAGTGCAGGGTGCACACAGCTAGTGTCACGGCACAGACCTCCTGAGCCACCTGCCTCCTTCCTTGTGCGACTCCCCGGCTGTGAGGCGTGACCCGCTGCGGGAAGGATTGAGGAACGGGTGCTCAGCCTCCCTGGACCCCAGCTCCTGGGAGAGTGATAAAAGCCAGAGCCCCTGTCTTTTAGAAAAACACTTGAAGCAATTAGACAGTCTTGGAAAGGCAAATGCCCCAAGCAGGTGTCTCCTCCTAGTTCAGCGCAGAGGCACAGGGTGGGGAGCAGCCTCTGCCAGGGCTCCAGCCTTGCTTTGTCTCCCGCTGGCCAGCACGTCCTGCTGGGTCTGCGCTTCCAGGAGCTGTCTTGGGACCACACCTCTCCGGAGGAGGAGGAGCCTGTCCTGTGGCTGGAGTTCGATGGGGACACGGAGGGCCTTCCCGTCAACAAGCTCCTCAGGATCTACTCCAAGCAGGTAGTGCTGGTGTCTATTAAACTATTAAAGACAGTTGAAAAATAGAATAGACCTTTTCAGATCTGTCTCCAGAAATGGTTGATTGCATTCGGGCCAAAAAATTACATATATTTCTTGTTCTCTTCATTATTCCTTTTCTTTAATATACTTGTGTAAAAGCTGTTTCACAAATCGCCTTCCCCTGGTCGCACCAGGGTTTGGGGAGAGGTGGCCTGCCCAGCCCAGAGACCTGCTCTGCAGATCGCACGCCAGGTGTCATTGGCAGCTGCAGGTGGCACAGCTGTCCTTTAGGGCTTGCCCAGTGCTGCACGAGCAGCTGCATGCGCCATCACTTCCTCTGTTCCAGAGGCCCTGCAGGCGGGCACTGTGGTTGTCCCACCCTCAGCAGGAGAGGGCATGGAAGGGCGAAGGCCCTGGTGCCTTTGCAGTGCGCCTTCTGCGCAGCACCTTCCCTGCCCCGTTGCCTGCTGCTCTGCGCAGAGTGCTCCCTGCAGGAGCCTTTGAGGCGCTGTCCTTGCTCTCCTGTCTTTTCTTGGCACACAGACAAGTGCAGGGACTCCTGTCTTCAACACCCATTTCCTCTCCAGCCAGTGTCTCGGGTCTTCCAGAAAGTCAGAAGCCAAACAGATGCCCAGAGCCGGGGGGCTAGGTGGCTGCGTTACGCGCAGCCCTTCAGTATGTCGTGTGTGCTCAGCCTTTTTTTGTGGTACTGGGGCCTGAACCCAGGGCCTTGCACCTGTTAGGCAAGCACTGTACCGTGGAGCCACACCAACCCTGATTTGTTCCCCTTTACTGTCAAGGAAGATCCGTCACAGAGCTACGCTGCAGTCTGACCTATGCACACACTGAGAGCCTTTGGGTTGTTCTGTGTGTGACTTTTATCAGGAAAGCTGCTCTCAACATTTGTGTGTAGGTTTGTATTTGAACATAATCTTTTCTCAACTCTCAAAACCTAGGAGTATTGGTGCATGGGTGGTTGAGTGGTAGAATTCTCCAAGCCTAGGAGTGAGCCCAAGGGACTATGTGATAATCATAGAAACTTCCAAACAGTTTTCCAAAGGGGCCACACACATCGCCTTTCCCTAGTCGCACCACACCCTCATTGTCACTCGGTGTTGCCAGTTTCTGTCTGCTGGTCATTCTCAGATGCGCGGTAGTGATGTCATTTCAGTCCTAATGACTAGTGAGGTTTGTCGTCTTTTCACATTCTTACTAACTACGTCCACAGATCTTCTTTTGTTTAGCGTTGCCTCGTATCATTTGCTCTTTTATTTATTGGGTTGCTTTCTTCATGAGTTGTGAGAGTTCCTTATACATTCTGTGTACCAATTCTCTCTCAGATGTCTTTTTGTTTGTTTTGGGTTTTTTGAGACAGGGTCTCACTGTGTAGTTTAGGCTGGCCTTGAATTTACTGTTGAGCCCAGGCTGCTCCTGAACGTGAAGTGACTGTCTTGCCTCGGCCTCCTGAGTGCTAGGATCACAGGCGACCACCACCATACCCAGTGCAAATGTTTTCTTTCAGTCTATAACTTGACTTCATTTTATTGTCTCTTGAAGAGATGTTTTTAACTTTGATGAAATCTCCCCAATCCTGCTTACAGTCTCACTAAATTATCCAGCCTGGCCTTGAATTTACTGTCCTCTTGCCTCAGCTTCCTGAGAGTGTAGGCTTATGCCACTATGCTTAGCTGGTGAAATCCACTGTAGCAATTTTTTTCTTTTTCCTTATATGATTTATATGTTTTGTTTCCTAAACAGTTGTTGCCTAACCTGAAATCACAAAAATTTTCTCCTGTTTTCTTTTCTTTTTATTTATTTATTTATTTTTTTAAAAAGAGTCTCATAATGCAGTTCAGCCTGGCCTTGAACTCACTGTGTAGCCCAGGCTTGCCTGGAACTCACAGTAATCCTCCTGCCTCCGCCTCCCAAGTGCTACAGGTGTGGAGCTCCACACCCAGCTATTCTTCTGTGTTTTCTTTTAGATGTTGTAGAAGTTTACCTCTATGATCCCTCTGAAGTTTATTTTTTATATAAATGGTGTGTGATATATGTATAGGTCCAGATTGGTTTTTGTAGTTGAGTACAGTGGCACACACCTGCAACCTCAGCACTTGGGAGGCTGAAGCAGGAGGATCATGAGTTTGAGACAAGCCTGGGATAGACTGTCTCAAAAAAAAAAAAAAATGGGCCAGAGGTGTTGGCTCATGCCTGTAATCCCAGCACTCAAAAGCTGAGGCAGGAGGATCATTGCATTGGAGGCCAGCCTAGGCTCCATAGTAAGTTCAAGGCCAGTCTGAACTACATAGCAAGACCCTGTCTTAACAAAAAACAAAGCTGGGCGTGATGGCACAGGCCTATAATCCCAGCACTCAGGAGGCTGAGGCAGGAGGAGCACTTCAAGTTCCAGACCATCCTGAACTACATAGGGAGACCCTGCCTCAAAATACACACACGTATACACATACACACACATAAAAAATAAAAAATATTATTTTAGTTACTCTGAGGAGAATCAACATCTTAAGTCATCCAATCTATTATTTCCATAGCTTCATTTATTTGTCTTTGATTTGTTTGTTTGTTTTTTGGTACTAGGAATGGAACTCACGACCTTGTGCTTGCCAGGCAGGTGCTGTGTCTTTGATTTCTTTTATTCGCATTTTGTTAAATTTATTCCTATTGCTTTTTTTGGTACTACTGTAAACAGTGCTGTTTTTAATTATCAGTTTCCCATTGTTTACATTATATAGACATGCAATTGACTGTCACTTGTGTATCCTACAGCCTTGTTAAGTTCACATGGAAGGTCTGCTAGCTTTACTACTGGCTCTGTGGGGTCTCCTGTGTAGACAGTTACATCATCTGTGATGTGATGTGATGCACACGCACGCGCACACACACACACACACACCCATCTGTATGCCCATCTCTTGCTGGCACCCAGGCAGTGTGGGATGGGCGGGTGTGAGCACAGTTCCCAGCCCACCTGACCTGGGGGGAAGAGCGCCTCCCGCACACCATGGCCTTCGTGGACACCCTCCTCAGGCTGAGGCGATGCCTGGCCAAGCCTGGCTGAGCCTGGCTTGCTGCGTTTAATCTCCAGTGTTTGGGTGTGGATTTAGGAGGAGACAACTTTGAGTGGAGGAGGCTGGGTTTTAGCCTCCCGCCAGGCCTGAGCCACTCCCCGAGGTTTGCGGCCTGGCCGCGCAGAGTGCGCGGGGAGGGAGGGTATGCTGAGACTGAGGCCCCAGTGACTGCCCAAGAGAGTCACCATGGCCTCAGCCACACTGAGGACAGGCAGGAACTGGACCAGCGTCCACAGGCCGCCCCCAGCACCCGGCCCGGTGCTGCCACTTAGCTCCTGGTCCTCAGTTCTCCTTGGAAGCACACAGCCGCCAGGGCCTGGCATGCGATGGGTACTCAGTAATCAGTAAATCAGGGTTTCCGGACAGGGGGACGCCAGCCCTAGACACCTGTCTGAGGCCCTCAGGGCCGAGGCCCTGTCCTGGCGCCAGCTGTGCCCTCAGATATCTGGCTACTTCACCTCCTTATGTCAACACATGTCCCGTCCCCAGTCCGCGGGGCGGCGTTGCTGATGAATGCGCTCAGGAGTGACTCACCCGTCTCCGGCCTGGGTTCTCACCGGCAGCCCCAGGCGCTTGCTGCACCGCTGTGGATGCCGACCACCTCCCGCCTGCCCCAGCCCACGCTGGCAGGCTGAGCATGCACCCTCTGATGAGGGGGCCGGAGCGCCCTTCTCCCACCTGCCACCCCCAGACCTCTGCTCTGACATCATCCAGGCAGGGCCCGGCCTTTGCTCCCAGAGCGCCTGCCTCCCCCTCCTCCACACCCTCTTTCCCTCCTTTTTTGGGAGTGTGTCCATTCCCAAATCTACTTGGAGGCAAGGGCCTTAGGTCTGTGCATCTGATGCTGCTTAGCCAAACCCACCGCTGGCCCTCTCCCGCCACAGGCCGAGCTGATGAGCGGCCTCATTGAGTACTGCATCGAGCTGAACCAAGCTGCGGAACCCACTGCCCCCCAGGAGAGTGCGCCCAGCCCCCACTCGGCCGCCGACCCCTCGCTGCCTCCCACTCAGCGCCCCAAGCTTCGGAGGCAGAGCAGCGTGGTATGCAGCCGGCTCCAGCACCTCTCTACCATCGACTACGTGGAAGACGGTGAGCCAGTCACGTGTGTGTGCCTTGTGCACATGCGCACATAGGCACACGCGCACCATGGGTGCCGGGGGAAGGGGTTGGGGGTGATTGCAGATGCAGGGTGGGTAGCCTGCTCTTGCAGGAACCTGGCTGAGAGAATGGAGCCCTTTCTGTCCCTTTGACGGTTCATCAGCAGTGTTCATCACAGTATCATCTGAAACATGAAAAACAGAATCTACCCATTACTTTTTATTAAAACTGTGGGTATATAAATCTAAAATTATACCAACACAGAAAGGGTTTCTTCAGTTCAGTAGCAAAGATACACATTAATTTTTTTTGTATGTGTGTGAGACAGGGTCTCACTATGTAGCCCAGGCTGGCCTCCAATTCACAGCAATCCTCCTGCCTCAGCCTCCTGAGTCCTAGGATTACAGGTGTGTGCCACCATGCCCACTGTTGCTAGGCAACTGCTGTACCACAAAGCTATATACCCTAGCCCTGAGACCTTACAGTTAAATGCCAAAATGTTCACAAAGTAATAAGGAATAGAAAAGCTCCAGGAGCGGCTGGGGATTTAGCTCAGCGGCACAGCGCCTGTCTGGCAAGTGTGAGGTCATAAGCTTGATTCCCAGTACCAGAAGAAAAAAAAAAGAAAAGCTCCAGGAACAGGGCAGCACATATTTTTTTTTAAAGAGATTGGGTTGTGGGTTCGGGGAAGGCACAGAAGCAAAGTGCTGCTTTTGTCACACCAGGTCACAGGTGCCCATCAGCGCGGGCTGTGACTGTAGCTATTGACCATGACCACCTGGCTTTATTTATTTATTCAGCAGCATCAGGGACTGGACCCACGGCCTTTTTGCACTGTGCGATATCCCTAGCTCTTCTAACTTGGGAGAATCCCCTGTACCTGGCTGGGGCTCCCTTTAGTCACCTGTGCTGCAGGAATTTGATTTGTTTGGTCAGCCGCACAAGGTTTAGTGACAGTCTCAGAACACCAGCCCCACACCATATGAGCTGCCCAGAGTTTGTGAGCCCAGCCCTACGCCAAGGGCAGCTCAGTCCCGACAGGCCCAGAGTCGCTGTTCCACCACGGTGACAGCCCAGCCACCCCCGTGCCCACGGCACCTCTTCTCAGGTCTCCTCTCCTTCCTATACAGGCAAGGGGATCAAGCGGGTGAAACCGAAGCGCTCTACCTCCTTCTTCAGCCGGCAGCTGTCCTCGGGCCAGCGGGGCTATACTGTGGTGCAGCCCACGGACAGCCTGGAGCAGGGCTGAGGACGGCCGTGCCGCGGGAGGAGAGCAGCGGGGACCCAGCCTCTGGACCTGCCCCCAGCACTGTCCCCTGCGGGCGCCAGGCACAGAGTCCACGGCCCATGCACACGGCAGCCAGCGGCCTTGGTCCCTCAGGCTCTGGGTGCTTCAGACCACGGGGAAAGGACTGCCACCACCTGGGACAATACCTGGGCCATGTGGAACACAGGGCCCCTCTTGTACCCTGGCTCCCACGTACAGATGCAGCTCCAGGCCCCTCGCAAGGGGCACAGCATCCTGTGCCCGGCAGGGACTACTCACAGCCCAGAGGGCAGGTGGCCGAGGTCAGGGATTGGGCCTGCAGGCACAGTGTCTTTTCCTGGGACCTCAGTTACCACATCTCACATTCCTTCTGCTGGCATTCCCTCTGCCCTGCCGGCATGGGCAGTCACTCAGTGGTGAGTGCTCCCTGAATGGAGCGCTCCGTACCATCCTTGAACTGCTCACGTCTCCCTGGCAGGCACAAGACACTGAACAGAAGAACGTGTCTTCCCAGACGTGGTGGCACACACCTGTAATCCCAGCACTTGGGAGGCTGAGGCAGGAAGATCGTTGTGAGTTTGAGGCTATCCTGGGCTACAAAGTGAGCTCAAGGCCAGCCTGAACTGCATAGTGACAAACTGCAAAAAGACAAAAAAAATGGAAGGTATCTTGATGCAGCTTTTGGTGATGTCACTGCTGGGAGGTGGCCATCCTGTGGGCCAGCAGGCCCTCCAGACTGACACTGTACCAAAAAAGGTTCTCAAAAAGCCCCTTTTCGCACTCCCAGGCCCATACAGTTCCCTCCATGGGTCCAGCAGACCTCCCTTCTGTGTTTGGGTCTTCCAGATTTCGACTTGGTGCCCCCCACTTGGTCTTTCCTCGTCTGCTTTTGTTTGGTGAAGCTGGCAAATGCTTATTAACCTCATAGCTGTGGATTCTCCTTCAGCAAAGGCATAGGGTCCCCCTGGGGACCAGTCTCAGTGACACAAGATGTGTCTCCTCTCCCAAGGACTTTGGAAAGGAGGCTTGGATGCGGGTGCTTGGCTTTGTCGTCTCCCACCCCAGGGAGGGTGCTAGGGGTGGAACCCAGGGTCACACACATTGGGCCAGTGAGCTGTGCCCCGAGGCCCCAGCCTTGCCCTCTTGGCAACAGTGGCTCTGTGTCTTTCTAGAGAGGAGCTGGGGCTCAGGGCAGCGCCTGCCCTGGTCCTGGGCTTCTCTGTGGGGGCACAGGCTGTGCTTTTGATCCTTTCTGGTGGTGACTGTGGAAACGCGAACATATCTTGCTCCAAAGCTAAGGGCCATTTGTCTGCCCGTGGCAAGTTGCGAGAGCTCCAGATGTTTGGAGGTGGCCTGCCTGTTAGAGTCGGTGACGTGTTAATACCATAAGTAAGGAAAGAGGAGACCTGGGAGGCATCTCCAGCCTTTTGGAATGTTTGGGCTGCATTGTGACATCAGCCGCCACGTCCTGTCTCCCCTGCTGGCTTGGCGTGACCTCACTGAGCTGCCAGCCCGCTGTCCCGTCCCTGCCCTCTGGTCCCCTGGGCCCACTCCCTGTTGGCTCCAGTGCGTTCTTATCTGATGGCCCCACGGCCAGCCGGGTGCGGTCGGGTGAGTGCAGAGGGCGCTTCCACGGTTGAGCTCAGTCCTGTTTTCTAAGCACCCATTGTGCCTTACTTCTCTGCTGCCCTTTAGGACAAAGCAGTATTCTACTAAAGTGGCTTTGAATGTCCTCATTCTTTGTATCACGCAGTTTATTAATAAAATCAGTTTCCAGCAAGCCTTGGGGTGGCTATGGGAGGAAGTGCTGAGGGTGTGCGTGTTACAGCGGAGGATGGGTACAGACAGCCCGTGTGGCTGTTACCAGTCTGTGGCAACGCGAGGCACCTGTGCAGTGCTCTCATGCCGGTGCTGGCAGGGAGAGGGGTGGCCGAGGAAGGCCAGAGGCAGCGCTGTGAATCTCCTGCCCTCTGGGCTCCCCTCAGACCTTGTCAGCACCCAGTTTGGAGGGCAGCACAGTGGACCCTGCCGTGGCGGCAGCCGTGACACAGGCTTTGGCCTTTGTATAAGCACCAAAAGTCAGGGGTCGGGAGTCACACGGTATGTTTCTGGGGCTGGAGGCAGCTAGCCGTGTGGCCCTGGGTTCAGGGCCTGTCTGCTTGTGCATCTGTTTTTTTGTTTTTGTTTTTGTGTTTTTTTGGTCTTCTTGAGACAGGGTCTCGCTATGCAGTTCAGGCTGAGTTTGAGCTCACGTTGTAGCCCAGGCTGGCCTCAAACTCGCAAAGATCTTCCTGCCACAGCCTCCCAAATGCTGGGATTACAGGTGTGCGCCACCATGCCCAGCTTCTGTTCTTTGTTTAGTTTTGTTTTATGGCTTTTTTATTTTTAATTCCTTGTGCATCTCTGACAGGAGGTAGTGGCTGGTGACCTGGCTAGGGCAGCGTAGTGCCATGACCACAAACACGTGAGGCAGACATGGGTCTCATTTTTTGGCCTTTCAGATGGGAGTAATAATACTGTTTGGGCAATTAAATGCATGTATCTTGAAGAGTAACGAATTAAAGATAACAATATGCAGTGTATTAACTATTACTCTCCTATTATCTTTTTTTTTTTTTTTTT